AGCTTTATTTGTAGCTTTGACTGCTCTGGTTAGGGGCTCAGAAAATCAGCTCTGGTGCTGGATTTTCTTCCACTTTATTTTTAGTGTATTTAAGGTAAACAAGAATAAGGACTAGATGAAGATGATGGCAGTAGTTGTCAGAAAAACAGTCTTTTTAGGTTTTCTGTGTGCAGGAGTGCAAAGTCTCTCCATTTCATACATTCATAATTTAAAAGTAATTAGAAATTCTAAATAATTGCTCCCTGGGCGCTAGATAATCTCCATTAAACATCTAAATACCAGTGACTTCCCCACACTGGAGGGAAAGAGCCATGCCAGACTACAGCAAGCCCAGGTTTTGGGCTCCCTGGCTTGGAGAAGGAGCCCATTTGCTGCACACTTAATGCTGCATTACAGAAGGTTCCATCCTCTATGCCTGGCAGGAGAGCTCCTTCAGTGGCCAAAGATATGTGCTATGTTGCTAGCAAGACTAGTCCTTCACCTCCAGTGGGACAGCAGGGCTTTTCAGGGAGCGGGGATCTGAGAAGTCATCTGCCTGTGCTGTTCTTCAGTAGCCAATGCCAGGGGCTGAGTCCCAAGGCGAAGTGGTCAGAGATACATCCCCACCACATGAAGAATATCTTGCCAGTGTGAACTGCTGAGTGGTTGAAGGAAAAATCCTGCTTCTGCAGCTCAAGTCCCTGCTAACAGCACAACAGTTTTCTTCCAGTCCACCCCAGTAATCTGGTATTTTCCTTCCAAGTCCCATGTCCCATTCTGTTCTCCCTGCATATGCTTCTCTCACTAGCCTTCTGCAGCCCAACTTTAGGTGCCTTTTTTTTTTTTTTTAATTTCTCCTGGAAGTCATGAAACTTGTTTCAGAGCACTGATCTCTGCAGACAGTGCTTCTGTCCGTCACTGCTAGATAGGGTAAATAAAGCTAAAGAGCTCCTGTTCTACAGTTCTGACAGAGAAAAAAATACAGTGTAAACCAGACACGGTTTATACAACCTGTATGTTTCATGCCTCCTGCCTCTAACACCTCTACTGATGAAGTATATCTCTGGAGCCTCTTCTACTCTGTTCAACTAAACCCATCTAGCAATGCAGCTTCACTGTTAATAAACCATGAAATAGACACTCTGAGCCAATGAGACATACCTTCAGTGGAATTGCAGAACACTGACATGCAGCAGAACACTCTGGGTCCACAGCATGGACCCTGCCTGTGTGCAGAGGTCCTGCCTGATTGGCTTTCTGGTTCTTCTCCTCCTGATGGACTGATGACAATGACTGATTAGCCACAACAGCATCAGTCTCTGTTTCAGAAGCAGCAGTAGTTTCCACATAAAGTAAACCATCTCATGCAAATACAGTGCTGAAGTAGTTTGCAGCAAAGAACAATAGAAGCAGAAGACATGGCTCAACTTGGCTTACATGTGCATTAGTCTAAAAAAAAAAAAGAAGTCACCAAGTAGAAATATGCTGCGCTATGGGACAGAGAGGAGAGGGGAATAAATCTTTGTGACTGTATGTGCCTCTGTTATTGCATCTACTCACCATCCATCTTTAGATATCCAAGCTGGTAGAACAGCTGTGCAGAGTGGGGAGTGTGCACAGGTCTTTGAAAAAAAAGGTAATGGTGCTACAGGATGTGCTGTGCTGGGATATGCACCTTGCATGGCTCATAATGCATAGCAAGATCTCTTTTATGCCTCCCTACTGTTCATTGCCCCACAGCTGTCCTGGTGAGGCAAAGCATCTTATGAGCCAGTATGTTCCAGATAGTTTTATGAGCCCCGAGAGTCCTGCTTCCGAGGTATGAGCAAGGACCATTCTGTATGTGTGACCACAACCTCCCCTTCCACAGTGAAGAACTTTCCAACTGCTTCTGTATGTGACTGACCTTCAGCACACCCTGTAGCCCATCAGAGAGGCTGAGGAATGTGGTGATGGGTGTAGCCGTCAGCCTGAAGGGGCAGTTTTCAAGACTCTGGAGAAAAGCCGAGGAGCAGATGTGAGAGGATCAGTAAGAAGAAAGACAGCAAAAAATATCCTGCCTTTCCTCTACCAAATTCCATTAACATGCTCATCTCAGAAAACTTTACCATCAGCTAAAGTGCAGGCACAGAACAAAGTAAAACTTCAGCAAAAACTGGATTTGCTTTTCAGGAACATGAGATTGTATTGTATTGAGTAAAAGCATGGCTTACACACACCACATGGAAGATACAGAGATTTCTTTCTTACTTAAAAGGAAAACTTTATTTTGATACATTAAAAAATCTATACATTTCTTAGACTAAAATACAGTTTTGCATCAGTATCCTGGCACAATGTCAGTTTACACAGAAAATCTAAGATTAGATCAGCACTGTTAATTTCTTTTCTCTTCCTGCATTCACAGCTTGCAGTATAAAATAGTTTTAAGTTCTCAAGACAACAATGAACAGTGTCACATTTACTTTTCCCATTCTCAAAGGAGGTGGCATTCCACTGGAAAAAGGAGCACTTGTTAGTTGATCTCGATTCAATGTAAATCACTAAGCCAGTCCAGGGGTTTGATTGCCCTGTTAGAAGTATGAGTAAAGGAGGATGAAAAATTTGTTTCCAGATGAAGCTTTGATGGACTATGACAATGCAAGTACTGTCAAGCCTTTAAAATCTGTTCAGAAGATTTTCCTTTTTCCTAAGAGTAGTTTCTGTAATCAGCCACACCATTCATTATATAGAAATAATTATTTTCATTCCACCTTCATTTTGCTCTGAGGAGCTTACCAGAGTAAAATTAAAGTGGGACATGGGAGATGTTGCTGTGAGATGTCTGAATTGGAATGTGAATTTTCTTAGCTACTGTGAAGATCCTGTGGAATATTTTTTATCTGCTCTCCATGGCTCCACCTAACTTCTGGTAGCTGCTTTCTGTTCCTACATCAGAAATAAAATTAGCTTTCTGTTTTCTTTTCCCTTACTCCTCTGGGAGACATTATGAAATTGTCTGTGGCGCTGTTTTTCAAATGAGAGGTACTCTCCTGTTTCAGCCTGAGCAGCAGGGAGGGACCCAACTAATACTAACATGGAGGGCACATGTTAATTTGAGAATTAAAGAACATTTTTATAATGGGAGCTCCAGTCAGTATACAACCTCTGCCAGGTTTCATAACTAGTCAGCTTCCTAATTTCACCAAACCTTTTTGAAATAAGCTGTCCTTATTCCTACTAACCCAGCTGAGGAATGGTATCCACCTATGCTGCTAGCATAAAACAGGAATGCTGTTAGGTATCTACTTATAAATCATGTATTAGAGAGGCCATAGCTGTCTTTAACATTACTGAAATTAGGCTAGTTCTGTTAAAGTCAGCTGGTACTTTTACTCTGAATTCTTGGAACTTTGGTTCTAAGTGGAGTTTCTGTAGAGAAGTACCAGATGCTTATAACACCAAAGTCTGCTCACCATATTTAAATATAATGACTTGACCTCAGTGAGACAGGGGAATAGAATCTGATGGGCATTTGCTGGTTTTCTGCTCATTCCTTTTTAACAGATATCAAATGAATGCCAGATAGTGTAGCCTCCAAATAGGTATTTTCAGATCAATTCATGCTATCAGTTCTCCTTAGAAATATTTTCATAATCCTGGTCTCTGAGGAGCTTTGGCTTGATTGTATCAGATTGCAAGACTCATCACAGCTCCATCCCAGACCAGAAATTTTGCCTTTTATACATGACCCACATCACAGGAGATGAGTTTCATCTTTTCTCTCATCTCCTTAAATATATATATAAAAAAAATACCTTGAGAACAGTATTTGATACAGAACACAAGAAACAGATTTACTAGTCTCCATAATCTTGTTACATGGTGGACATAACAGCAGAGATAAAATAGTTGGAAGAGCATTTGAAAATGAAATATTTAAAATTTTCATCATCCCAACAAAGAAGCTGAAGGCAAGAAATGCTTCTAATAAGCCTGTTGAGTTTTGTGTTGGGAAACACAAGGGTTGTTTTGTTGTCCTTTTTGTTTTCTCACAATGATGAAATAAAATTTCTGTGTTGATAAGGTGACATAAGCTGTTCAAGAAACAATGAGCTAGTGATTTTAGATTTAGTAAAAGGTCTATCTGCACAGGCCAAGCCATGATTTAAAAAACAGGAATGCTGTAAGTTATCTACTTGTAAATCTTAAGACTGTTTCTTAAAACGACTGTGCCATATTCAATACAGCATGTAATATGCACTCTGAACTAAATGCTCACTAGATGGTGATGAGTATATGTCTGCTACATGCATTTTATTCTGACTCTATAACATACATTCATAGAATACATCATAACCACTCAGAGCAAACCACTAAAGTGCATGCCCTGAGGGCACATTAAGTATATTGTTTCTAACACTGGCTGCTCAATTGCCAGAACACTGATACAGAAAGGGCTCATTTTTGCTTTATATCCCCATTATGTGCTGAAAGTGTAAGAGCTAACATCCCCTGCTCCCTCCATGAAAGGGAGCACTGTGGAGCAGGCTAATTGCCTGCTGCAAAAAAAGCCCTTTCAGAAAGAAGTAACCACCCTGAGAAGATGCTGTACAGAAATGCAGGGAGCAAGTCTTAATTATTGGGTAGGTGGGCCTGTGTACTGGGTGGGTTAGGCTGGACAGAGTTAATTTTCTTTTCAGCAACCTGCAAGATGCTGTTTTAGATCTGCAACTAAAGCAGTACTGCTAACACAAAGGTTTACTTTCTACTGAGCAGTGCTTGCACAGGGTCAAGGCTGCCTCTATTTTCCGCTTACGACCCCTGCAGTCATTTGGCATTGGGCAAAAGGATGAGAGGGCACACAGCCAGGACGGTTGATCTGAACAGGCTGAAGAAATATTCCACACCACATAATGTAACACTCAGCAATCAAACTGGGGTGGGTGTGGCTCCCAAGCAGCTGCTGCTTAAAGATTGGCTGGGCATTGGTCTGCCGGTAAATGATTGCCTTTTTTTTTTTTTTTTTTTTTTTTTTCTCCTCATTTGCTTAGTGAACTGCACTTACATCAATGTTTTTGTCCTTTCACTGATCTCTCCATAGTACTACAGGGACTGAGCAAGCAACAGAGAAGCAGTGTATGTGACAGCCATGGTCAACCCACCACAACATTTTACTGCATTTTATCACCACTGCAAAAAGTCCTTCATTTACTATGCCAATGTAAGGCCACATTTAGAAGCCTGTCCTGGCTCTGGCACTGGGAACTATTGGAAAGCTGAAGATGCAAATCTAAACTGGCCATCCTATGTGTTATGTCTAGGTGTGGAGCAGCAGTGAAACTCTAGAAGTGATTGGTTTCACGTCTATCTACAGTGATGGAGTAATACCAGACAAAAAAAGAAAAAAATCTCTACCTCAGAACATTATAGCTTAGCACATACTCTCCCTCTCATTCAGTATGGGTAATATCCTGAACCATTTCCTCGGGAAGGTAAAAGGGAATGTGGTGAGATCAAGGGACAAAGGGGAGCTGACACTGCCACTTAACCACTCTTACTCAGAGAGCAATATGGAAATGAGACCCCAAAGAACAACAAAAATCATTCTCTAGGGCCAGAAGAAGCAGTAAAGATGACATGGTGCTGTTCAGCTTCCAAACAGAAAAAATAATGTGAGAAAACATTTAACAGTTTAAGGAATGGTATGCTTTTTCTGTTTGAAACTTAGCTGGTCAGAGGCTATGGCACAAAAACCAAATGCTGGGAAGCAGTAATCCAAATGATTGTTTCTAAACCCAAATTGTCCAGCCTAAATCTCCAGTCTTTTACCACTACTTAATTCAATGGACTTTCTGAGGAGATGATTTCTCTGGTTTAGCTGTCTCATCTACTCCTCCTGCATTGTTATTCTCAGTGCAGCATCACTCTCTACTTAGTCTAGACTGCTTCCCACAAAGCAGACCATACACTGGCTTTAATAACCAACAGTCAAAAGAAGTATTTAACCTCTCACAGGTGGCAGACCCCAGCACCTCTACTGCCAAAATTTATGTATGGGATTTACATGCCAAAATGTCCTCACACTCCAATATCCCCACTAGGAAAGGAAAGCAGTCTAAATTTGTCCTGAAAAGTTGTCTTTTCAGAATCCTGTCTTCTGCTTATCTCTGTGCACAAGACGGAGCTGGAAGAGGGCAGCTTGTAGTTTGATTGCAAATGAACTTCAATAGACAATCACAAGCTTTAAAGGGCCACTGGAAAGCCTATGTATGGATGGAATTCCTTTTTGGCAAGACTGAAAAGCTCTGCATGCTGGATATACACTCAAGAATGGTGCACACATTTTTATTAAGAACTGTGTAATGATATAGGTTTCTCACTTAAACATTACAACTACGCATAGAAAAATGTTGCCTGTTTCTTTTAAACACCATGTAAATAAACAAATTTATTTTTAAGACAGGATAAAACTGCTATAAAAATGGTGCACAGTCAAGTCATACAAAAATACAAAATTTGTTACCAATTGCAGTCCTAGTTGCAATTACAGAGAACAGTTCCCACTCAGGATTTCCAGTGAGTGGAGAACACAAATTTGTGGAACCAGTCATGGCAGAATTTTTTTATGAAAATGAGCAAAATACAAGGCTTCTTTAAATAAGCACTTCCAATAACCTCCAAACAAGATGAAAACTAGATTCTCTGGAAGCAACTGGGTACTTGGTAAGTCTTTTAGTCTTGAAAACCAGTTTCTAGGATTATCTAAGCCAGTTTTTAAATTTGTGTTGCTAAACCCCTCTGATCTACACAAATACTGGTGTTGAGTACAACTGCTGTCTTAGACACTGGTACTGCAGGAATGTCTCCTCTCCACAAAAGTAAGGCTGCTCCAGTGTTTCTTGTGGGCAAGTCTATTCTCTGACTTGAAAAGAGAGGACTCACCTGTGCTCCAGCTTGCCTCCCTAGGCTGAAGCTCATAAGACCAGTCAGCACTTATACAGATGTGTATGTTACAATTTCCATACTGAGAGAGCCCTCCTGAGAGGGCTCCTCCTGTAGAGTTACAGATATGGTTCACTTAAATCAGAAAGTGCTTCCAGGATAATTCTCTACATCTCCCCAACAGCTATCCTTTCTGAATGTATCTTTAATTTTGTACCATTCAAATCGTTTGGGTTCTGTGGTATGAAAAGTGTAAATTGTTTTAGCTGGCTTATAGAAAAAAAAAAATGACAAATTTAAGCTATCAAATGACTTCTGGAAGCAAAAGTGAAGAGTTTTACTATTGCCAAAAATATAAGAGCACTAGTTAGCTAAATAAGACTACATAATTATTTAAACCTTTAGCAGCAATTTAGAAGTCTCATAGTCTGAAAGGAAGCACAGTTAACTGCTTACTTACTAAACCTTGATTACACGAGTTGTGCATGTCTTTACCTAGACATACCTCTCTACTCCATCATAAAGCTTCTGTAGAAAGGCTCTTACTCTTTCAAAAGATTTTCTGGAATGGAGTGATTGAACCACTGAGGCATCATTATTTGTAGACAGCTTGTATTTAGTGCAATAAGTTTAAAAATTCTGCTCTGAAATATTAACTTTACAATAACAAAAATAGTTTTCTTAAAAAAATGTTAACAAAAGGAATATATAGCATAGACAGATCATTAATTCTTAACAAATACATTTATGCATTTACCAATTCACTATGCTGAATAATTGAATATTAGCATTCCTATCTGGTGAACTTCCAGATTGAAAAGATATTTATGTATCTAATAATAATAAAAAAGCATGTTCTCTTGTCATTTTTTAATAATTTCAGATAACTATCCTGGCAGCTACATTTCCAAAGGAATGTTTCTCTGCCCTTTCTGGCTTTAGCCACCCACTAAAATATGTACAAATATGGATCAAGCAACAGGCAAGGAATGATCCTTTCTACCTCCCAGAGCTCTCTCATTAGATGAAATGAAGCATACAGTACTTTTTTATATACAGCAGTATAATTAATTTCTCTTCCCATCCTCAGCATCTTTGTATCTAGTCATGAATTAATCATGAGTATGGCTAAGACTGAACTTTAACAATCTATTATTTCACTTGCCCGTATGGAGAATCCATACCCTTCAAAGGAACACTGCTGAAGTGTGAAGGAGGCTACTGAACTCAGGGGGAGGATAGAGGGCAATGGGTATGAGGGGTAAAAGTAGGGTAAGCAGGAAGTTAATTGCATATAAAAATTATCTGTCCCCATTTTGTAGGTTCTGTTTAATAGGAGATGCAAGGGCTCCCACACCTAAATACCTGAGGAGTTGGTTATTGTGATATCTGATATTGGTAAACAGAACTGTGCCCGGCCAGGGCTGTAAAGTAAAATAACTGCTTACAAACACATTTCAACTGAACAAATTTTTTCCGATACAACCTCTTTAAAAAATAAATTAGAGACTTTTTTTGATTTTAAATTTTTCTATACATGTCACTGTCCCAAATTTAATGCAAATTTTAAAGAAATTAAACACGTAAAACTCTCAGCAGATTAGCAGTGTCATGGGAAATCTGTCTCTAAACCCAGTCATGATTTCAGATTATCATTACAACGGTACTTCCTCCAGATTTTAAAATATCAAGCAGATAAGAATCAACATTTCCATGACCACAACAAATAATTTAAGAAATGGAACAATGATAAAGCTGCTTGTAAAAGCCACCCGTATGAAAAGAGTACATGTTTCACAAAAATAATTGTTAAAAAAAGTTTTAAATCCCTGTTCCTTTTCTCTGATTTTGGCTGTTTATTTATATATATATATATATATATATATATAGATGTGTGTATGTATATATGTATATATATACTCTTTTGGAATGTCAATGGGTTCCAATATGGCTGGCTAGTTTCAAGATGAACTTGCTCCAGAGGCCTAGAAAACAAAGTCATACAGTATAGTCTTAGACAGATGCCAAAGGACAAGGAGAAATTGAGTCAAAAGGGTCACTGGAAGCCATAAAGAAAGAAGTATGAAAAGGTGCGGTTTTTTATTGCGCCCTGATGCAAGAACAGAGCTTCCTAAAGTGTTATCTCTGCTACTAGTATCTATTTTAAATACATCTGCACTTAGGGCATTTCACTTTAAGAAATAACTGTCATATCTAAGAAATATCTGTATTTCAAGGAAACAGAAGCAAACCAGTAAAGACTCTTTTTGTAAAAAAAGAAGAAAAAGTAGTATTGAACTAATTTTCAGACATGCAATTTTGGGACTACAGGCAATATACTGTTACACAATAGACTTACGAGTTATCCTATTCTGGCTCTAACTGAGGCACTCTACTTTGGGGAAAGGTCTCAGAAATTTGACTGCTGTGTCCCATCATGATCAGGAAGTGAGATCCTAGTATTCATAATCAAATCAACTGGAGCTGAATGCCCAAAAATGGAAAACAACAAGGCCCAAACAGTTCCAAACAAGACATCCACATGAGCAACAGAATTGGGAGTAATTCAGCAGGAGACTTCCACTACGAGCCTCAAGTGCTCAGCATCTTCTCAAGCCATCTTATAAGGACTTTCAGCCAGTACCAGGTCAAGAATCCAGAAAAAAATTCTTCTAAGAATAAAACAACCCTTGGTTTGCAAGTTCTTGGTTTGCACTGTTACAAGGGGTGGGGCTGAATAAAGTTTTTTAACATCCAAGCTTCAGGCTTTTTAACATCCAAGCTTCAGTCAAGTACAAAAGTGTAAGTAGCAGTCTGTGCCAGCTCTGACAATAGTGTAAGTGGAAAACCACTTAAGGTAAACCAATTATTTGAAACAGAGTTTAACATAAAATTTTGAACTGAATTTTTGGGTATATGACTTAGAGAGTTTGCACACCCAATTCTCAATCATTTTCATGGCACATTTGCATTTACAGCAATTAGCTCGCTCTGAAAATCCCAATGTTAGTGTCTGCTTGACCAGCTAGAATTACTCCCAGAAGAAAACAGTAAATGAGCATAGAATTAGTTTTCTGTATGTATAAACACAGCAGCATTTAGGCATAAGCAAATCTAGAAGTTGGTAAGCCATAATGAAATAGCAAAACACGCAAAGCTACACATCTATCCAGTCTATAGCAGGAACCCATTCCAGCTTAGTCAAAAAATGCTCATGCAACATGGCTTCACATACATTGTTGAAAAAAATAAATTCTTCTGTTAGCACACACTTATTTAGACTCCACTTGGTTAAAAAATTATCCCCATGGTACGGAAATGAATAAGACCCCAAACACTCTGAGAAAGTGATGATGGAAAAATATTCTGTTTCACAAAGTCATAATGTATGAAGCAAAATCATACCTTGCCCAGCCTGGCACTCTGTTATATGCCCTCTCTTCTCCACCTTCCAAACTTATCCTCCTATCTGTTATCTGTACCATGTACAGTGTTCTTATTCCAGGCTACTCAGACATGCAATGCCTTCCTAACAGGCACACCGTAAGTAAAATAGGCTGCAGAAGCATAAATGATGCATTGTTCACTGTCTGTGCGTCTGACAGTGTGAGATGGAAAGAGCACACAAGAGACAAGCAACATAAGTAGTTGGCAATAAAACAAACAACTGGGAGAAATGTCATTTGAGCAGGTTGAAAGGAATCACTGTATCCAATTCCTTGGCACTGTGTAAGATAATTTGGTGAGGGCTTTGAATACCTGTTCTTACTTTTCAACAATGGATACACGCAGTAAGTGTTCTTCATTTCAGGCTTTTGCAGTGAATGTAAGATGAGCAAAAATTATTCATCTCAGGGCTGAGAAGAGCCCCAAGAATCTCAGAGCCATCTTATTTTTAGACTGTTCAGCAACTGGGGCTGTCTGTATATACCACATGGAATGCACCACTAATCCTAATGAAATGATACTGCATTTGTTTCATATGAGACAGTTCCTTTCATCTTACTTTTACAGGAGATGGTCTCAGCTGTGACAAAAACTCTGCCATCCAGGTGATAGGCAAGCTCACAAACAGAAAAAGCAGAACATCTTGAGTGATACAGAGAACAAAAACTTCTCCTGAAGAAGTGCAGTCAGTAAAGACAAAGAGGGAGAAGAAGTAAAAGTGAAACTCTTGGAGGATCGCCACCTCCTCATCTGCACCTACCATTGGTTTTAGCTCTCTGCCCTCAGCTCCACCTCCCCGGCCAGCTTCTTTCATAGATTTCCTACTATTCTCCACAAACTCCTGAAAAACAGTAATGAAATGACAAGTGCTTTCATAGAGCAGGCTCCAAAAATCAAATCTCAAGACAGAACTTCAAGATGTAACTACTCAAAATATCTAGATAATTTGCATCTCCCATTTCTCTTGCTTAGACTTGACCACAAGGTATCAAAAAAGGCTGCCAAATAACCTCAAAGGTCTCCTTCACTTAATTCTGGAAGCCAGACAGATGTTTGCCTTGTGTGCTCTTACAACTTTCATATTTAGCATGCAATCTTCTCCTTTATGGGGAAAGAATGTAAAAGGCTGATTTTCAAAAAACAACAAAAAAAGTCAAAACCAAACAAAGAAACCCCACAACAAAAACCCCAAACAAACCAGAATTTCATTTATTGCCTTGTATTCTATGCCTAATGTTAGAACTCCATTAAACAAAAGAATTTGGAGATAGTTACTTGCAAGATTTGGCTGATTTCCCTAATTGTCCTCAATTCAACCTCTTACATTTTTCACAAAATTACAATCTCCTTTTCATGAAGATTAGAAAATGTGCTATAAAATTTTAAGCAATTTTTTTTCTCTTAAAGGCACGAATTCTGCAGACAGTGTCAGTAAACTTTAACTGCTGGCGTTTTGTGATATTGACTGTTGACTAAAGAAACCCATAATGCTTTACAATTTATCAGTGCTTTCTTCTGAGAGAACTTGCTGCATTTTACTCTTACTCTATTAAAAAGCAAATAATGAACAGCTGATTTATTTATTATATACGCTAGATTCCACTGGGATTTACAAAAAATTTAGCACTAAATTCTTGTCATGGTTTTCCCACCAAAAAAAAAAATTGCTAAGAAGTCATGAGAATCTTACTCTAGCCTACATGACAGCATATTTTACAGAGACATATTCTACACCTGCCACTTAAAAATACTGTCAAGAAATTTCCTACGCAACAAAAAAGTGAGGGACTTGACGAGCAGAATTTTTATGTCTTGGCTTCTTATTGTGAACAGAGGATAACATAGAATAAAAATGGACAAAATTAATCAGCCTTGCAAAAGGCCTTGACACAACATGTAGGCTCCAGGACAGAATATAAAGCTTGGTATTTCTATGTGTGACAGAGCCAAATTTTGGTTGATGCCTATATGAAAACTCCACTGTGGTCACTATCTATGCATGAGGTAGAATACTCTGATATTTTTTCTGTCTTATATCCAGAAGTCCTTCTTGGGAAAGTAAAAAAAACAAGTTTTCTCCCCTTGTTTTGCTTCTTTCAGCACTTTGTAATTTACAAGACATGATATCCAAGAATATGACTCTGCAAGATTGTTGCTCATCTAACAGCTAGCAAATTGAAGCCAATACCATGGGAAGGAAGAATCATTACTTACTTGATGCTTATCAGATGACACTGTTTCATGATCAAGCCATGAACAAGATCGCAAGGTTAAAAAAAGCAACTAAAAAAACCCCATATTGAACTCAGCTAGTGCATTAATTCCATTGTCAAAATACCTATTTTATGGAACCGATCCTTAAACTTTGAGAGTAAGGGAAAACTTACCATGAGAACTTTATCCATGTAGAATTCCCTGCCAGGGCTCCCATCATTGTATTTTGTATCGATGGCAAAACATAAGAAAAGGACATCAACAACCATTTCATAAATGGAAAGGAAGCAGTGAGCAACCAGGAATGCAAAGAGGCAGACAATGATGAGTGGCAGCACCCAGGTGGTGTAATCTCGTTGGTAATTCAGCAACATAATGCCAGCCAAACCTGTGCTGCAGACAATCAGGACCTGAAGAAGAAAATGGCAGACAACTCTAATGGCAGAAGCCTTTTGATATTTTTGGTTTGTTTAAGGCAATATTCTTCTTGGTCTGCCAGGATTAGAACTAGAGGTAACAGATTGTAGGTGACAAGAGCTTTACCTCCTGGATTTCCCACATCCCTGAGGATAAATGTCATTTAATTCATTTTTCAGCAGGTTCAAGTCAATTGTTACGCATCCTTCATCACAAAGAGTATTTTTCAGAGAAAATTACATTTATATCTGCTGTCATTGTTCTAGTGTTATACAATATTCCTGTAAAAAAGAACTTTATCCTGTCAATTATATAAACCCCACAACCAGATACCATGCATCAACTAACATGCAGTTGGGTTTTTTTATCTGGGGTGGAGAGAGAAGTTAGGTGTTAGGAGAAGTTAGATATTAGGAGGTATGTTTTTCATTTTGCTAGTGGAAACAACTTCGAACTTGTTTAGTATCTATTTCTTCTCCATACAGGAGAAAGTAGATCAGAATTCTCATGAGGCACTTGATGCAACAGTCACCACAGAACTACACTATGTGCGAGGCCCTAACAGATATTCCACTGGGTACCCAGTGTAGTTTTTGCAAAACCAAAAAGACTAAATGGTGTTGTTACCAATTAACTTTTTTAATATTTCTGAATGTATTATTATGAATAGCAACAAAACACAATCATAAAGTAGGTCAGCTTTTATGAAAACAGCTCACTGAACTGGTAGAGATGCTGATAGTGTAGCATTATTTTAGCTGATACTGATTTTATGTGCAATGTTCATTTGAACATTCCTGTCACCTGAACATTTTTCTAATAATCTGTCATGTATTTTGAGGGGGTGTTTGCTAATACTTTTCAAATTCCTCAGTAAAACTTAGTTATGTAATTTCAGGCTCTCCAAAGCACCTATATCTCCCTTATGTGTTTATTCCTTCTGACATCCTACTCACTTAATTACTGGAATCAAGGTCCAGCCTGTTGAACTTCTGATTAACAGAAGCAGAGGAATGAAATAAGGAATACAGATCAGTCCAACCAGTGTCCAGATACTTAGGCACAGGTAATTTAAATAATCTGGTATTAATTGTTTCTGTAAATTATGGCACTTGAAAGGATAGAAATAATTCACTGTATTATATTTCCATACATTATATCTCCATTAGCTGGAAACCCAAAGGGCTGATTGATCATAGAAATTATTCTTGTCTCTATTTAATTCTGAGAGTAGAACTAACTTAGTTGCTTAAACTGACAGTTCCTCACAGCAGGCTTCTGTACTCTTCCAGTCTGATTTTATCATAAAAGGTGATCAGCAATGTGTCAAATTTTCAACATAAACCTAGAGACTCCATACTGAACAGAATTTAAAAGAAAAGCTTCCTTTCTTTACAATTCTATGTCTTCAAAACAAAATCAAAACCTTAGACTTTCTAATCACTTTTCTATTGACTCCCTAAAAAAATGCAAGAAGTGCCATAAACTGCATCTGTTCCTCTCTAGTCACTTTTACTAAATTTAAGTGGATCATCTGTTTATTCTCCCTATACTGGATGATCCCTTCCTAACATCATGCAGCTAGATGTGATAAAGGGCACACTAAGAAGCAGGATTTTAAAGGCATTTTGAATTAGGGTTCAAGCCATTGCTAAAGAAAGAGCGCTTCTACATAGGTCTGTATCAGCTGTATGCAGCAGACATACCTTTCCTAGAAACAGCATAAAATCCCCAACCGTGTTTATGGCAGCCACTCGCAAAGCATTTTCCACTAGGATAACAAAGGCATCCTTTGCTGAGGTGCAGAAATTGGTGCTGTTGATAGCTGTGGCTGTATAAGCATTCTGAGAAAAGGAGATTGAATATTTATTCATAAAATGATCAGGTATTTCAGATGGAGGGTGGGGAAGGTAAGGGGGAAGATACAGCTTCTGAGTAAGACACATTCATCATATGATTTTAATGAACAAAAATTCCCTTGAGAGTTGTTGAATCAAGCAATATGAACCAGCTGACAGAAGATTATATGAGGTAAAGAATTACTATTCTTCTCCATCTTGCTCATAATTTATGCATTACAAGTTTGTTCAAAAAAACTCATTAAAGAGAATTTGCAATTTCTCTGCAGGAGGAGGTGAGCAGTAGCATAGCTACAGAAATTAAATAGTTCCAGAAAAACCAATCTGGAAATATAAAAGAATCTGAGTGTCATACAAGTCACCCAAGATAATTTCTAAATACTTAACTAGACTGCATTCAAGGTTAGTGAGGACAGTTTTCAAGGATTACATTGGGACATTTAAAATACTTTCTTATGATTTTATTTTCTACATTTCCATACGAAAAAAAAAATAAGAACAGTGAAAGAGATGTTATGTACAAAATATTTATGTATCTGATATTTATTTATGTGATATTTATGGCCCATAAACCCACTTTTACAAGGGGTCTTTTACAGGGACCAGCTAGTCCTTGAAACTCTTTTTCTTCTTTGTAGATGATGACAATTTGATGTTTTGTATAGTTTTTACACTGTGAGAATCTTAAATATTACACACAGAAAAGCTTAATTCTCTTTTCATAACAATATTTGCATAAATATTTTGAAATTCAGATGTAGTTTGACTGAATAGACATAAGGGGGAATGTCTCCACTAAATCACTAAACAAATACATAACGTTATAAAGTAGAGAAACAATGCTCACAAAGATGAATATGGGCTATTTTTTAGTTCTTGTTTATATTCCAAAGGTCAATGTAGTGATTTGCAGTGTAATTTCAGTAATGGAGACAAGAGTGAAGTACTGTCATTCAAGTTCAGTTCCAAAGTACAATATATTATATGCTGGCATCAGATTGCACTCTGGGAATATATATATATTAATATCAGCCCTTACATGAAACTTAAATATGGAAAATCTTACCTGATTTAAATATGTCAGGCACTTTTCTAGACACCAAAGGCAGCAAATGCAGGCTTTAAGCATACAGCGAGCACAAGCATTTTCCTAGAAAAGCACAGAATGTAGGAAAATATAGATAAAGAGTTTTTATGGAAACAATATTCCCTTGTGCTTCAGTAACTGATATTCAGCTTGCTAACTTAAGCAATCTGTATCAGTCTCATGGTCCTGTAAAGTCTAAATATTCAGAGAACAACAGGATGCTTTTGGGTTGGAAGGAACTCTCAACACCACAGGCAGGGACACCTTTCACTGCCCCAGGTTGCTCAAAACCACATCTAGCATGTCCCAGCACACTTCCAGGGATGGGATATCCACAGCTTCTCTAGAAAGCCTGTTCTAGTGCCTCACCACCACCCTCACAGTGAAGAATTTCTTGTTACCCTGATCTATTCCAAAACAAGACTTGCATCCTCCCACATTGACTAAATAAACAGGTAAACATATCAGTTTTGATAAGAAAATGGAAATCTATTTCTCTTACCTTTCCTTTGAGTTGTGTGTGAATATACATAAGAATCATTCGTGGTATTTTCACTAGTGTGATAATGAAAGACCCCTTTGCTACTGTTCCTAGGTGGTAACAAACAAGGCGATTAACAGATGCCAGAATAGGAGTAAATGGCAGATTTCTTTTCTCCCTGTTGAAAAGAGAAAAAAAAAATGAAGTAGAATGATCAGTATTTATGTGGTATCATATAGAAGTGCTACAAATTCTCAATAAAATAATGTGCAAAAGGAATATATTAACCTCATACTAACTTTCAGGATATATTGCTCACTCCACCCTGACAATCTGTGTAACTCACAAATTTCTCTCTAATGCAGGACTAGGATTAGGAATTGCTATGTCATACTGTTGGAGACTGCAATATTATAATTTATGGCTTAAGCGCTTTTTTATTAAGCACTTTTTCCTGTTATAGCAGAGCTTCATAACAAAAGCTGCATGGAAGACCACCACACCCTGAATGAGCCTTCTGATTGAGGCCCTGGACTACAAGTTGATGGAGGTAAGATAAAGTGACTCAATTCTGGGCTGAGGGGAAAAAAAATATATTCACTGGAAGGTTAAGACTGACATCTTTGTGCTGGAGACAAACACCCCAGGGCTATCAGCTGCCAGACTTACACAGGCCCCACACCAAAGAGTGGGGGTGGGAAGGAGAGGTTTTGGGTGTGTGGTGAAGTGAATGCCAACACTCTGCTGTGCAGACCCACCCAGCTGCAGCCACCTCTTCACCCTTGAAAGCCACATCTACAGGACATCCATGTGAATGCCAGGAGGGGGTGTCATGGCCCATCAAAAGTTCCCCCAACAAGGGGCCCCAGATCTTGCACTGGAGCACTACATGTTGCAACAGATCCACAGGTTGCAAGAGACAGTGTCAAACTTGCCCTCTAGGAATTCCTACCTAGCCCAAATGTGAATTCATCAATTGGATTCTATACTTTTTGGGGTGCAGGGGACCCTCACCACCAAGAAGACCAGATGGAGGGAAGCCATGAGATGTCATCTGGACCCTTGAAAGGATGGTATGTTTCTACCTAATCCCCATCCCTCTCCATGTTCCCCTCCCTGCTCTTTTTCTACATCTTTCTTTCTTTTCTCTTTCTTTCGCTTTGCCTCTTATACTACTAAATAAAATATATCAACATTTTTGTTTGGCATCAACATCTAATGTCCTTTGGTTTTAATCAAGTTTTGGAGTATATTTTGAACCTTTCTGGGTTCAATCTATTTTATTCACAAATACTTCATTTTCTTTGTTTTTCTGGTTTAAATTGATTTGTAACACATATGAGTAGTGTGGTGGTGCACCCCCATTGTCCCTTCCCATCTTGGGTTGCATTATGATCTCAGAAATGCTTGTTAGGCCCTTGTCTTGATGAAGAGCACCTGGGCTCATCTCCTTGAACTTATCAGAAACACAGACTGCTCCCAAGAACTTGTAATGTCTATCAAGGTCCTGTTTTTAAATGAACAGCCTTGTAAACTTATTTTTTGTGCCCAAATATCAACATTTCTGTTATTGAATTTTCAAAGAAAGTAACAGATCTAAATTGTGGACAGGATGGAAAATTACTATGACTGAAGCAAATTCTCTTGCAACCCTGTAAACTCCTGGACCACAGTGGGCTATGACCAGCACCTCTTCCTGAGTGGGACCTCTGAGCCACTGAACACTCAAGTTTGTGATACTCAGAGGAACAACATCATATGCTGCTGACAGAGCCTGGGCTGACACCCTGACACCCCACTGCTCAAGCCTCAACCCTTTGCCTGTTGAGAAGGTGCAGAGGCATCTGACCTGAGCACTTCACTGAAGTTGAGAGGAATTTTTACGGTCCATACCTTGTACCTACATGTGTGAGTGTGAATGTGCTACAGCAAATGTACTGTGAACATTAGATTGGTAAGTAAGTCAGGTCGAAGTAACTGAGTTACTGTTGTGCTCATAGTAAATTCATGATTCTATAGACTCTTTTGTTAAATTCATTAAATTACACTATTGATTAAGTGATACAAAGTTTAAGTGCTCTTTAACTTTTTAGGCCTAAACTTTCGGTGAAGTCTGGGGCTAACAGTGGCAAGAGGGTCCACTTTTGTGATTCACTGAAAGGGTCTCCCTCATTCCTTTTTATCCTTATCCTTTCTCACCCTTAGCTTTTTCCATCCCCAGCTTCCACATAAATAATTTTAGATTTAATCTTAGATTAACTTATTTTAGTCCTACTTTTCCTTTTTAAAATGTGCTTTAATCTACTATTAAGTAGTAGAGTGAATCTTGTCAATGAACTCCATCACACTTTAACTTCTTTATTTAACCAGCTTTTGCCAATAGCTTGGCTGGTGATTCTCTGAGCAACTGGAAACATTCATTGGTGACAGGTAACCTTACTAGCAGTTGGCTGCATTACCACTATTAACAACTGGCAATTCCCTTAAAGTTGCATCAGGTGGTGTGCAATTCAGAAACCTTCAAAAATAGTAAGAAACTGTGCTAATACTTTTTTAATCAGACTACTGATAAACCTGTCTTCTCCTCTCTTGCTCTTTTGGAAGTCTTTGTGTAGACTTTGGAGAGGATATTACTAATTGATCAGGTTAACTCTTTCCTGAGATTTTTTGCATTTCTGATTTAGCTATTATATCCTCAAGGTACCAAGGGTTGAGCCTTAAAACAAGTTATTTAATGCAGTGTAGCTCTAATATTTTTAATTTATCAGATAAATACTCACCTTCATGATTTCAAGCCATTTTCCTTTTCTATCAAGAAACTCACTTATACATCTCTCTCAAAGAATACTAATAAATAAATATTTCAAGAATAGCTCTTCTTCTTTATTGGAAGTAAGAACAGGATAATAAACATATTTAGAAACATGTGATAATATTAAAAAAAATAAAGGATCTCCCCAGCTTGGGAGAGATGAGAACTTCACTCAGAAAAGATAACAAAAGTAGATTCTTCATTCCACAAAACTAATATCTGCATAATGTAATCCTGACATGTTAATGATTAAAGTAGATTTACCCTGTATTTTATTCCAATTAGCTTTTAGGGGAAGACAAATTGTACTCCCTGTTAGGCATAATCACATAAATTGCTTGAGTCTTATGCCCAGGCAATACTTCTTCAAACACCAAACACTTCCTCATTTTCAGGGCAAAGTCTGTAACTCAAAACACTTTGAGGCCTGTTATTGCCTGAGCTGAAAGGAATCCATCTGGCTAAAGTGAATGAGCAGTGAACATCTATAAAACATTTCTCCATGAATAACCTCACCCTAAAGTGAATGAGCAGTGAACATGTATAAAACATTTCTCCATGAATAACCTCCACCTCGTTTGATTTAAAGCTGGTCATATGCAAAATAATTGATAAGTGCAAATTAATGCCTTTTCTGTTTTTACAAGTCACTTTTCAAATTATGATTGTACCTTAAAATGCAAAAAGAAGATAACCGTAGAGAGAAATGAGCATTTACTAACTTAAAATAAAGTTGCTGTTGTGGAATTATATGGTATGGATGAAATAAAAATCATTCACCCTCCGGTGACGGGAAATGCATAAACTTACAGAGGAAGCATGCACATTGCTAAGCAATCTATTTCAGTGTAGAGTAATTCTCTTTCCTCTGTGGTTTCTTCATTCCATACTCAATCTGGTTTAATTATTCACAAGATTACATCCCTGTAACATCTTGTAATAACTTCATAGATGTATTTCATTGGTATACTGGAGAACTTAATCATTAATAAAATAACAAATATTCTGACAGCACAATAAATTGATTCCTTGCTTTTGATATTATTTTAAAGAGTAGGGAAGAAAAGGAGTCAAATGTAGTTCAGATAACAACCTCAATTAAAAAGACAAAGCAATTAAACATTTGTGATCTGAATAATGCACTTAAAAATATCTGCATATATTATTCAAAAAACTCATACACAATTTAGTTCACAAATACAGCAATAAAACATAGAACTTTAAAATTTTATATGAATTTTTATTTTTATATGATCTTGTCAGAATCTATATGTAAATTATTAATCTAATAACATCTTAACTAATCCTGTGAAAGAAAGATTAATGAAGATTAGTGAAGCACTGTATATAATTTAAATTGCACTGTTTTCCAATTAAGACAATAATCAATTGCTTTCATTATTTTTTTAACCTTTACAGATCTTACCAGCATTAATTATTTAGCAAAACAGATGACCTTCCAGACTCATCGTTCTTTGTAAATAATTACCCATTCTTGTAGAATGGGCACAGGTTACAAGGCAAATAATACTTCAAGTCTTACATGTCAAGAATACCATCTATCAATGGCAAAACAGTTAGTACAGGACTTTAGTGACTTAAAAAGGGTCAATGCAATTTAACTGTTCTCCAGTATCCCAATGGACACAAATATTCTCCCCAGAAACCCTGCTGCTCAGTATTTCTGTTAAGTCAATGAGTAGTCTGTGCAGGCTACTCATGGTAGAGCTATCTGCGTTACCCTTACCTTGTAAAATAATAGGTGACAACAGCCCCTGCTACTGTCATCTGCTGACAGGCGAGGATAAACTCGCTGATCCAGATGAGTCCCACTACGTGGTACCACCACATGTATTTCAAAGGACCTACCATCCGAAATTCAATAAATCCTTCTTCATTTGGGACAGGGCTACCTAGAAATAAATGAGGGTGAAAAAGAAAATGATGCATACATAATGAAGGAAGCATATGATATTAACAGTTCATAACTAGTTACAACAGAAACCTCTCTAGTTTCTGCTCATAATTTTAAATGCCACATTTAGGAGGACTGTTCTTAAGAAAGATAGAGCTTTTGAGACAGTAAGTATTTGGGAAAAAAAAAACTAAAAGAAATTCCACGACTAACCACTATCTCATAGCAAAAATTCATACAGTTAGACATAATGGAAGTCTATTTCAGTCATTCCTAATTTGACTTTGCTGCATTATCAGTATTTTGTGCACAGCAGGAATCAGTATCAGCTCTTTACATCTAGATGCCAACACCAACAATCACTGTTTTCCCTGTGGTAAGTTTTGTAGCTTTAAAGCTAGTAACACAAATATGGAGCAGCCTTAGAAATTCTAAATACATGATTTCATATATTCAAAAATTCATTGACTCTTCGTCTAACATGAATAGCAATGTCATGGACAGAGACTGACAGCATGTCAAAGCACTCCTAAGATAAGCTCTATTTCAATGTGTTAATACACAGTGAGATGTTTCCTAATATACAATATTTACATGAACAGCTGATGAGATTGAGAAAAACACTGCAAGGAACTTTGTATGTACAAATTGCTTATCTTGAAAACCATTGTTTTGACTTAGCACTGACAGCACCTCACCTACAGTCTTAGTTATGGCTTTATATTTACATATAAAATGAATGTTTTCTTGTCAATAAGTTAAACTATTGAAATAATTCTGGTTTCAGTGAACACGGATTTGGCCTTATTTGCACAAACAGTTTAACTGATAATAGTATGATATTGAGTACATATAAGCTAAAAAGGTAAATTAGTTTTTGTAGAATCAAGGCGGGTTGAAGAGTTATATCAGACTAGATTCTGCTACAAATTTAGTGCCTGTGAAATCTTCTGACTCAGAAAGTGAAGCTCAGGGCTGAGACTTTCAGTGGTGACCATTTTCTGCACACAGCACAGCTTGCAATGGAAACTAAAAATTCCATCAGTAATGAGAACAGGAACACATAAATTATATTGCCTCCAACCCTTGCTAAGAACTCAGGATATGAAAAATATTTGTCTTGTATTACTGTGAAATAGCTTTGTGACTTGAAACACTGCTACTTTTGGGTCAGTAGCAAACAACACATTTCAAAATTTTAATAAATTTAATAATGAATGACAGTCTCTGTTGTCTACAATGCACTGCAAAATAACAAGACTTTTTAAAAAGCATCTGTTGTGTTTTTTTTCTACTGAAGTAACTAAGATTTGGACCTATGGGATTGATTAATTCTAGAAGCTCTTGTCAGACCCTGAGTAAAAACAAAGCTTTCACCTTCTATGTATTAGGAATTAGGAGTACATTGGCTGCACTCAAAATACAGTGTACAAGCAGCAGAAAAATATCCCTAATGATTCTGCAACAATACAGGACACCAAAGTTACAAGCAACTGAAAACTAAAATCACATTATTTACATTGTGGGAGACAGTAATTGTGTGCAATGGCCCTTCTTACTCTGTCCTCATCTGTGTGAGTACTGTCTGCAATACTTGGTGACTCCAAGATTATGCTGTCTTTAAACTGTGTGTGTAAAATTAGAGGGAATTATTTGAAAAATTGCTATAGCAGTTTTATTATTAGAGTCTCACGGTTTGCAGCAAGCCAACTTGCATCAAATCAAAAAGCCAGCCTAATATACAAAGAGAATGAAGACTCAAATGCACAATAACCTGAAGTCAGTGAAGCAGACAGGAATAGAAGCACAACAAGTGGGCTTTTTTTTTTTGAGATTCCCACAAGCTTTTTAGTCAACTCTGCTAGAAATCATACAAAAGTGAAATGAAAATTATTTAAAGTAAGTGACTGCTTACCTGTAGTACCAAGAAAAAGCAAGACTGCGATCCAGTATGTCCAGAAGAGGATAAGCACAAAGAATGTCCAAAATGGCTGGAAGACTAACAGCGGCAGGTGAATGAAGACCTTGCCAGCCACGTGGAACAAGGCAATGGTGAGAGCTACTCTTTTGCGCATAATCAACATGATCAAGAGCAAGATAACCTAGAGGGGGAAGTTTCCAAATCACATTTTAGAGTACTGAAACAGAATCAAGCTACTCTTTTGCCCAGCTAGGGTATTTAAACACACTAAATTAACACATACTCTAGCTATAAAATCACAAGATCAAAATGTAAAACCTTTATCAGCTTTTCTGGTAATAAATTATTTTCCAAATTTGGGGAATTCCACTCTCATAATTATGTATTTGGAATCATTATCAGCCTTATGCTGATGAGACAAGACCAGGTTCTATCCTCAAGTATGTTTTACAAAGCAGTGAAATCAGCCACTTTTAACCTTTAATTATCTTTAAGAAAGGTACTTTAAAATTTATATCAGACCATGGCATGGTAGTCTTATAGGATGTATGTATATATGTGTATTATAACATAAGGAATAAGAATCTAGGAGAGGGAATGGAAAGAAAGTTTTGGATTAGGATGTAAAGCAACAAGAAGAACAGAAGAGGGAATCTACAATTCCTGTGAAATTAGTCAAACATTGTCAGTTTCCGGTAGAAAATTCAGTGACTCTGAAATTAACAGCAAGGCCCAAAGAAGAGAAATTTGTTCAAATGGTGTTAGTATTTCAGTTCACAATGATTTAAGAAAAACCTTTTTCAGAAGTAGGCTAAGGACTTTTAAATACACTGAAACGACTAAGTACCTCTGAACTTAGAACCTAAGAAAAATCTCTTTGGGTTGGCAGCCCAATATCATACCTATTCTTGGAAATCCCTATGGACATTTTACAGTAGATGAAAATAGCTGCAGGCTTAGAAAGTCTCTCCTGACTCTAAATCAGATAATAAAGAACAGTTCCTAGAAAGTCTCCCCTGACTCATAATCAGGTGTTAGAGAACAATTCCTATAAGTTAAAAAAATAACATAATGAAAGAAAATCGCTTTAGCAGAAATAAACTGTTCCAAAATGTGTGCAGTACACTGCTTTCACCTGGATAAAAAATAGAGACCAACAGGAAGACAAGAACAGAAAATAATACAGTCTTTAGCAAAGCATACCGTGAAGACTGTAGCTGCAATGGCATAGATCAAGAGAGCCTGAAGATTGTCTTTGGCTATTTGGGTCTCAAGAGCACCAGCAGATATTCGTTGTTTAGCGTAGAGCCACCACAGGACTCCTGTACCACCTGTGTTTTAGTGAGAAAACAAAAAGGATAAATACATGAATCTTCTGTGTGATACATACTACTTAGTCCCAGAGAAATACAACAACTCTTTAATGTCTAGTGTGGTAGTGAATACACAAGAGCACTGATACTCAACCCAACAGGAACTTGAGAGGAGGGAGAAGTACCTAGTTCTCCTTTGTTGCCCTCTTCTCAAGTGAATAAACTCTCTTCACAGTCTCACCATACTGCGACCACTTAAGAGACTTGCAGAACCTTGAGTCTGTGTTTTAGGGTAAACTGCATTGAAGGACTACTTCATGGAGAGCCCTAATAGTGAGCAGCACAGCTCCCACTAGACAGGTAGTAAAAGAACAAAAGTACGAATAAATAATTCTGTGATAGGCTGTATGTATGAATGTATGTGTGTGTACTGTAATGCAGGGAGTAAGAATTTAGGAGGGGAAATGGACTTTTGGATTAGGATGTAAAATAACAACAAAACAAGGTGTTTATCATTCCGGGAACACTAATCAAAACAACAAGCATCAGCCTAATGCTGGAAACAGCACCTTAATGATATGTAGCTAAACTTGCTTCAGACAGTATCTTGGACACTAGAAAAAACATCAGTAAAAGGCACAGGAGGCAAATACAATGTGAGGTATTATCTTCTCACCCCTGTAATGTTAATCCTAGCCTTATGGCCAGAAAAACAGTCTCCTAATCTAGCTGCCTTTCCGAGGTAGAACTTTTCTTGAACACAGATCTCCAGCCCCTCAGGGAGATAATCTCCCCTCTCTGGTACATTTCCTTTTTATTTTAAGCATCCTTCTCTCTTCTGCTAGTATTTCTGAATCAAATGCGTAAGTTTAGTAGGGAGGTTGGACCAGATGAGCCTTTGTGGTCCCTTCCAACCTTACCTATTCTGTGATTTCATGTTTTTGCTGAATATACTCTGTTTGGGTCTAAAATGAAGAATGGTGTTTTGACATCTCCTAAACAAACAGTCAAGGCAGAATAACCAGTATGTGTCATAAAAGACAGGGTTTTTATTCAATCCATTATTATAATGGGTGAAACTTTTTAGAACATAACAGATGCCAGTCAACTATTTCACTCAACATGATTGCTCAGCTTCTAAAGAGAATAAATGGAAAAAAAAAAATCTGTATTTTTCCCTTTCCCTGGTCATAGAATTGTGAGGCTATTAATCAGAAAACCAAAGTGATCCTGAAAAAATATGGATGGTCTGCTGATTTTTTCCATCCATTGCAGTCATGAATTGCAAGAATTAAATCACTAGTGCTTCCTAATGTGATTATTCTATTTTTTTCCTTCCATGCAATCATCTGTCCAGACATTTTGGCTTAGCTACTCAGTAAAAAGTGTAGAAAACTTTAGTTTTATGAATTTAAAAGCTAACGTGATAAAATAAGGCTATTTTCACACAAGCTGCATAATTTTGGAAGAGACAACCTTAGTTCATTTCCAAGATAGCATGGCTGGTAGCATTTCACATAAGATCTTAAGTCTTGCAGGTCTTCCTGAGTCATATAGAAATACAAGGATTTAATTAGAATTGCTAGACAAACACCTTTACTTCCTCTCTTCAAGAACAGGTCTTAAAGAGCTATTCAAAGAACTGAAGATCTGATGAACATACCAGATTTGTAAATTTATTCAGCTGCATAAGCAATAGTTGCCCTTTGATTTCTTCATGCACCAGCCACAGTGTGGAAGTACCACGAGACACACCCAGGCTTACCTGCCTTGCTGACCTGTTTGGAAGGCAGGTTAAGAAGTAGACACATTTTAGGTTTGTGCTACAAGTGCTGTGAGGAGTCTCCTGCACTGACACCTGTGGGCTTTAGTGAGCTAGGCTGACATGAAGACCGACTGCCAAGCAGCGTGTGCAAATATTCAAGGAGCAATGTACTCTCTGAGAGAGATCTGCAATTACTAAGGTGGCACTTCTGATGTACATCTTGAAAGGGACTCAAAAAAAAAGGCTGAAGAGAAATGCATAATCCAAGATGTGTGTGGGATGTAGCTGGGCTGAGGACATGGAGCACAACGATTAGAACTGGGCACTCAAACTGGAAGACAAACAAGACTTACCAAGTGATCCCAGAATAACAAGAATTGTCAAAATCCAGACAAGTACTCTTGAAATGTACCTTATTATAACCATCAAAATCATGGACAACACTGCAAAAGAAGACAAATAAAATAAGCAGACTAATTACTTCACGTAGATACAGCCTTCCTGATTTTCCCACTGCATTAAGATAACTGCCTTCCAATAGAATTTTTACAGACAGATTTCTTTTCTGAGGCTTACAAACTCACTGAATAGATAGTTAAGAAAATTAGGCACCTCTACAACTTCTGCTTTGTTAATGTTGATTAAAACAAAGAGAGCATAAATACATTTACACGATACATCAAACACAAGACATCATGCATGCATACAGACAGAGATGTACTTAAGACAGTGACCAAACAGACAACAAGATATGGCAGTACTTTGAGTCTGGTAACATGAGCACACCTCCTGAGGACCAGAGCAGAGTCTGTACTCAAATACACATGTCAAACAAGTGCAGTTAATATGATATCTATGTATTCCAAAATGTCATACTAGTCATAAGTAAAAAACTATACAGCAACTAAGGCTAAGTGAGTGGTATGTACAAGTACATACTTGTATTTTAACATATGACACATTTGTGTACAGCAGTTACATGCAAGGCACTGAAACTTGGCTTTTTGAATCACAGTCTAACTCACTGTTTTAAAACAAATAATTTCTGTTTAACTATGAAATTACAGAAACTATTTTTAAAATTACCTATATAAATTCTGTACTAACTTCTGACTCTAACTGAACAGCAGCACTGCAAAGCAGGCACTAGCTTTCAGATTTTGAATAGTTTTCTACCATTATCACCAAATACTGAAGTTGTCGAGATGTAAAAATAAACAGCTTTCCAGATACAGTTGAAAAAATACACAGTGGTCTTTTGTGTGTGTGTAGAGGGGGGTTAATTGTATCTAGCATCCTCTTCTTTTTCCTTTCCTTTTCCCTTCCTTCTCCCCTGCCCTTTTTAACCACAAAAGCAAACTGAAAACAAAGGATCCCTATATCTGATACAGCTTTGCAGTGTTTCTTTCTAAATAATACACTGCCCATAGGCATAGCTAATATCATGATCTTCCCATTTTAGGATTTCAGATTTTATAGTTTGTATGAGTAAAACAGACTCACTAGGAAAGCAATTTATGTCTGTAAATTGGGCAACATTCCACCTCAAACAAGATGACTTTGTTAAAACACCTCTTCAGTGAAGTGCAAAGTGTCATTTAATAAGCTAGAGGCATCTCACAGCTATAAAAACAATTAGCACCTCTGTACTGTTGGGAATTTCCAGCTCTTCAGAAAAAGCCGAGATTTTCAAAGACCTGAAGCTTTTAATTTTGAAGGAAGGGGAAGAAGGAGATAACATACAATGCAACAAGTGGGCACCTAATTTTCTTGTTTTCACTCTTAAAAGTTCTCAAATCTTTGTGCAAGTATGTTAAATTAAACAAATTAAATCCCCTACATCCAACTGGAGTGTGCTAGTTTGCATTTCTCAACCTGTCCTTTTAACTGGACTTGAGTTGGTAGAAGATGACTACTGCAAATGAGAAAGGGGAATACTATAAAAAAATTAAGAAAAAACAGGTGCTCTCTTAACTGTATCAAAACTAATGTTGGCTAAATAACAGCCATGCATTCTCTATCTTATAATCAGTGTAAGAAAAACAAAACCAGGAATGCATATGTATATTACTTATAAGTTACCCACCTCTCAAATAAAATTTTAAAAAGCATTCTAATTTTCTAAGGGATTGTTGCTATTATACAGTGGTTTTTTTGCTCATATTGTGGTTAGAGTGTGTTAACAACCTCCTAATGGAGTACACTAAGAAATAGCTAGTAATGAGAAAAACAATTACCTAGTGATAACAAGCAAAGTCCCATTATAATCTCTTTGCTGGTCATAACTCCACTAATCAGCCTGTGTAAGACACTACTGTCACTGACAAAGGTGATCAGGGCCTCTGCAAACTTGGCATAGCAGGAAATGTTCACAGGAGCACAGCGATGGAAGAATGGAATAGGTGCACTGGTGACACAAGAAAAAAAAATCAGAAAAAAAAATTACTCCTACTTAATATAAATGCCACATCAACACACAAATGAAAGGTGAATAGATGCAATCATTCTACCCTTATAACATCATAACCAGAAACCATGTGTTGAATGCACAAGTGCTGCTGAAATGAGGATGATCATAATGAAAAGTGATGCAGTTCTTACAAATAACCCTGTGAGGCTGGAGTGTACATTTCAATGGGATATTATTACCCTCCCACCCTTAAATGACAAGGTGCAGAAAGTATATGTTCCTATTTCCACTTAAATGTCTTTCTTTCAAGTGGCAGGTGGTGACCCAGCAGCTGAAACAATGCCTTTCACTCATGTTAAAATGGAATACCAGTCCATATTTGCATCAAAAGAATTTGCAGAATAACAATACTCTTCTTCAGAGTATATATTTTGGGGTAAAGGACATCAGCATTCATGACTGTTGCCAAGCAAAACAAATGTATTTATTCCTAGTCTTTCCCCATACTAAGCTTGTTCTTGCATTGAATATTACAATCACAGAATTTATATTCATTGAGTCTGTTAAAATTATACAAAACGTACCATGATGCCTCTTACTGCTTTGAACCGTTTTGGAAAGACCCTCACAAACAACTATTGAGACTATGCACTAAACTTTGCAGAATGCTCTGAAAAACCTGTTATCAAGAGAAAGATATAAGAGAGCAAAAACTTTCCTTTAAAAGTGGGCAATTTTGTTTTCTAAATGTCTCCTATTTAGTAGCAGTCTGTCTTGGTCATAAAAACTATGTCAGATCTCAAAGTGACCTATTACATCATTTGATCAATTCCCAATTACATTTGAAATATGAATTGCACGTTCCTTCCTGTAATTGGATCCAATGAAAAAAAAGTCCTTTCTATTGTTTCGTCTGCCCGATCTTCCTTACTTCAAAGATTTCAGTGGACTATACCAGCAATGAATATAATCTTCTGCAGTTTCCCCATTTCAGCAATGACCTATCAATCAACCACATTCTGTCCTCAATAACTATTTTTAAGGCTGTGTCTTTCTAAAATTCTAACCAACATTTTAAATACATAGTGAATAAACCAGCTGCCTTAGGCACATGTTTCCCATCCATTGTTTTTCTGGGAAAAAAGGATGACATGCTGAAAACCATTAAAGTGTAACTATTCTATAAAAAAATTGGGAGAAATTATGATTACCTGCCATTTCTAGGTAATTAATTAGCAGACCCTAGGTTTTTGTTTAAAGTCACCGATGATTGCAAATTTTATGGTCCTAGGATTACTGTCCTGAGTAAGCAAATGCATTTGGAGATGCTCATATTGATGGTCTACTTTTGGGTAGGAATGAATACAGCAGTTAAGCATAGCAAAGTAATTGCATATTAGTCACAGATTTTAAAAGACAAACCTATAATGATGGCTGCCCTACTTAAAAGGCAGCCCACATATCCCCTTAGCCTCTTAAAACATAACCTATTTTGGAATACTGTTGGTTCATTATATGCAATATTACTGAAAAAGACTGAAATTTGAGAGGTTTATTTAATTGCTAATTGCTACAACTTACAGAAAGCCTAGAGCATTTGTAAGTTGTCACTATCAACAACAAAGCCCAAATTTTGAAGTGGGAGTCAGCAAAAGAATGTCATTCCTGCATCCAAAAACAAAATTACTCACTTTGAAAAGAGAACTAATGGGATTAAAATATTCTTCCAAAATACATCCCAATGAAAGAAAATATGATTTTTGCATCAGAGTTTATATTAGTCATCTAATATCCCTTAACCTAAAGCAATTTCACTACTTAAGTTACCTATTTTCATGTGCAGTAATTAATTGCTAAGTTTGTTTTAATTAATTTAAAAAATAGGCTAATGGTTCCTACAAGCTTTCTTAAGTAAATGTGACTTCTGAAAATCCACTTTTGAGATCTATTTCTGCTCCAGTGGTTCTGATTGAATGAGTAGGTGAGGTAAAGTGTTCCAGTATAAAGCACAATAATCTATTCTCTATGACCTGTGATATTTTATATAAACTCTTGTTTATATCTTGCTATTATTATTATTCAGTATTACCTACTGAAAATAAATTACAAATTTCTAAGAATAGCAACATGATGCTTAATCATAAACAAGAATGAATAAAGTTCAAGCCAGCAGATGATGGTCTCAGAAGCTGTACTTTTAAAGCATTATTCAAATGATCCATCTGATTTCTCAAGTATTAGATTTCAAGGAATTTTTTCCTCTCACTACTAACTCTGTGTATGTACAGGGATAGTACAGCAACCTGTGCAAGGGGATGGGGAGTCCAATTAGCACAACACTACTAGCTGCTCTTTATAACCTCTGCAGGGTAGTCCCTTGGCACAGCTCAGCATAGCTGGTTTATAGATAAATGCTGCAGGAGACTGGACAGGTTTTCCTCCAGGGTCCTCTAAACATGCAGTCATGTCTACAGAGGCTCATCTATATGGGGTGTGGAAGAAACACATATTGCTAACTGCACTGTTAGACTGTACTGCTCTGTCAAGGTTGGACATAATACCTTGAAGATGGATGGTAAGAATCCATTGACAGCCTGTCCTAGGGTGACGTTAAGGTGTTTGTATTTCCATTAGTGTGTTCTGTGTATGTTTGATATTATGTTCTGTGCTTTCAAAACTGACTCTGAAAGTGAAGGTTTGTTTTGCCTTGTTATCAGCCAGTTCACCTCCGCCCATGGTCTGCTGTCTAGAAGAGGCTGGTGCTGGCTGCCTTGCTTTTGCTTGCTTGCTTGGCTTGCTTCTGCTTTTGCCTTTGCTTCCTAGTTAGTTTAGCTAAGCAGTCCAATTCTTTCCCTGGACTCTTTCTTTTCCTTTCCTTTTCCTGAATACCATCCAACCTGCTCTGGACTGGGACCTGGAAACACCGAGGAACACCGAGAGCCTGCGCTCTGTGATCTGCAGCAGCCATCCCCAGTGCCAGAGAGCAATCCCCAGCACCCAGACCCGAGTGACCACTCCCAGGAAAGACTTTCTGGATTTGTTCATCTCTTCAGAGTGCTGAAAGTGTTTTGTTGTCATCTGGTGTTAATTTTTTTTGGTGCTGGGGAGTGCTTTGTTTGTTAAAGAAACAGGTTCTTTTCCACTTCTCTCAGAGAAAATTTTTTCCTGAACCAGGTGGGTGGGGAGGGGCCATGAGGGTTTGTTTTCTGGGGGCTCCTTCCAGAGGGTTTTCCCCAGATTTGCCCTAAACTAGGACACAGCCTCAGCTGAAGGCTGTGAAGAAGCCTGGTCATCAAACAGAAAAGATCAAGGGACAATCGTCACACCATATGCTACTTACATCCCATGGAACTAATGGGAATCAGAGGGTTCATAACTCTTGACAGATTGCACTGGTTTCAGCTGGGGTAGGGTTAATTTTCTTCACAGTGGCTGGTATGGAGTTTTTTTTGGATTTGTGTTGAACACAGGGCTGATAATGGAAAGGATTTTTTGGTATTGCTGAGCACGGCTTGCACAGAGCCAAGGCCTTTTCTGCTTTTTGCACTGCCATGATGGCAAGGACATTGGGGGTGCATGGGATGTTGGGAGGAGACACACCCAGGACAGGTGACCTAAACTGACCAAAGGGATATTCCAAACATGGCATCATGCACAGGATATAAAAAGGGGGAAAGAAGAGGAAGAAGGGCAGAAGGGCACGTTTGAAGTGATGGTGTTTGTCTTCCCAAATAACTGCTGCATGTGATGGGGTCCTGCTCTTCTGGAGATGGCTGAACACCTGCCTGCCCGTGGGAAGTGATGAATTAATTCCCTGTTTTGCTTTGCTTGCGTCTGCAGCTTTCCTTTCCCTATTAAACAATCTCTATATCAACCCACAGACTTTTTACCTTTTACCCTTCCAGTTCTCTCCCCAATCCTGCTGGTGGGAAAATGAGCGAGTGGTTGAGGGGGTCTGGGTTGCTGGATGGGGTTGAACCATGACACAGATCAAATGTTAGGTAAGTTCTTCCTTGATTGTTAGGTAAGTTCTTCCTGAATGCCTCAGTCTATTAGATGTTTGGTTTTCATTTGGTTATCTCAACAGGATTACATTTCTCCTCCAAATTACACTTACTCAAATAATTTAACTATAAAAACCTATAAAACCCAGTAATTTACAGATACAACGTATCTGTAAACTTATCTTAGGGCATTAAGTTCAGACTTTTCAATTTCAAAAATGCTCAAACATATCATGCATTTAAATAATACATATCAAAAGGGAAAATACTCCACCTACACAGTAATTTATTTAAAATAACATGAGGTAGTTTTTATGAGGAATTTACATAGCATCATTAGAGCTCTAATACATTGTTCTATCCTTCTGTTTTCTTACTGATCTATATTCTTTAAGACTGAATGATGTGAGAACACACAATGAGAAGTCAATATAATTCTGGCAAAAATTAGGACTAACAAGCCTTTTCAGTATGCAAGCTGGCACTGAAGTTTGCATTTGTTTTTGTATTACTGCCATAACAGTTGGCTACCTACATGGAATATTAATCTATATTGAGAAAATTTAAAAATTGTTAATATTCCAGCTGCCACTAATTGTCACTATAATAATTTTAAAAAGATTCAGTGGAGAGGCTACTATGTATACGAGAAAGACTTAAAATCAGAATTTGTAGAACTGACACAAATATAACACTTACAAAAAACAGAACACTATGCATAAGAAAAGACTCTGCAGTTACCACTCACTACTAAGTATATTTGAGAAGCTAAATTTTGAGAAAACATAACATGGTTCTTCTCAAGTCAGTGCAATAACTGACAGAAGGCTGAGATCCTTTCTTTTCTCAGCAATGCTCATCTCCACAGGTCCAGGCAGCACAGTTAGAACAGTTTATGAAGCTATGATCTTTCCAATCCTATTTCACAAATAGTAGTCTAATGTAAAACTTTAAAAAATAAACCTTCAAATGATCTGTTAATAAAATACAGTCCTCTTTTTGGTATTCAGCTATCCTTATAGTAGTCATTTGCAGACTGAAAGAGTAAAAAATGAAGCAATTTGCAGCTATCTGACTGGCAGAGGTAAGGTGTAAGAAGTGAATGCTGCAGAGAGCTCTGCATCCCTACATAATTTTTCCTCCCAAAGATACATAATTTTTCCTCCCAAAGATTAAAAATGTTCCATGATTGTCTCAGATCTGCATTGCTGATAAGCAGCTGGCTATAGATAGGGTAAAAGGCAGTAAAACAGCTGATACTTAAAACAGTGTCAGTCCCATCAGATAAGAGAATTTGAAGACACCAGCTCAATAGTTTCAGTAACACATACATAGATAATTTAGGTTTTTCTTTGACTATTACTTTCACTACCTTTTAAAAAAATAAAATTTTATAAATATATACAATAATACACAAAAACATATAGCTAGTAAGAGTGAAAATGTGTTGGTATTTTCTAAAGAACTGTCATGATCAAAACAAATCTCTGCTCCCTCTACCCCAAATCAGACACCTTGATCATATTACCTCTCTGGAACAGGATATTTAGGACATAACTTGGCAGCCCTTGGGTCTGTTGTATATTCTGACGGCTGTAGTTCATAGCTACACAGAGTGGATCCTGTTGAAAAGTAAAAAAAAAATATTGGTATGGAAAACAAATAAAAAACAAATATGAATATGATTTGCAAACAGCATCAAAACTGATACAGGTGCTAATACTGCACCTCCTCATGTAATTACCACAAAGCTTTGCTACAGTTCCTCCTGTAATGTGGTAAATCAAGTCAAACACAGTTGTCAGTAGAATACAATGACACTCTCCACCTAGCTTTGAGTTTTTCAAAGTTTGAGTATTTGAGTGGAAAAGACTAATTCACCATGTGCTGTAAAAGAGGGCAAAAAATACTGTCAAGCCCCCTCCCTTGATATTCCACCATGTTTTTCTTGATCATTTTTAGTGCATGAACATTACATAACACAACATTTATGACAGAAAAAAAATATTCCTGGGTTTCCAGGGCTTTTTTTTTTTTGTGTGTGTGTGTGTGTGTGTTCAAAATACGACTGGTCTATAGATTTCAGGAGCAGGAACAAAATACCCAAATTGATAAAGTTAGAAAGTTGGCTGAGAAAAAATAGAAGCTCTGCATTACATATCCAAAGCTTCTAAAAAGCTGAACTCTCTCCATAAACAAATTGGTACAGCACAGTAAAGATCAAGTTGTCTGTAACAAAATTCAAACTTAAATTAAATTTTCCTTTGTACCAGGCACTTGCCTAATGGAAGTGCCTTACCTAGGAGAGATTTCTTTCAATTTATCTATAAAGAAGACACTGAACATCTGACCCAATGCTTCTAGGAAATCAACAACTTCCAACTCAGACTGGAGCCCTGGTATATCAGCAATTGTAGAGGTAAGGAAACCTCCAGTTATATAAGCTGCCTTTCCAAAGATTAATTTCTTTCCAAGCTTCTTTCCTAATAGATTGCTTACTTCCAAGTGCAAGGGCTTTTAATACATAGCTTTCAGTGTCCTTTTCCACTGTGCAATACACTAAGGACTTATCTGAATCTCGATCATCAATATAAATATTCAATTCTTTCCATTATTAAAGTCCCCTCTTCAGAACAGTTTGTAGAACACAGTTCTGCAAGCTGGATCTGGAAAATACATATACACTATTACCCAAAATAAACCAAGAATTTTGACAAACAGCTTTATCATGGCCTGCATTACGGCGAACAGAACTATTATTTGTATAATATTATTTGCAGAAATTTTATCTATCATTGCTACATTTCTACCTCTATGATGAGACCACTTCTATTCACAGACTGAAAGAGCAAAGAGCCTACTTAGCTGCCTCAGCTGCTCTCTGTCTAATGCAGTCTCTGGAACGCTATTTAAGTACCACTTCTACAAAGTAGTTTTTTGGATGCCAATCTAAACAACCAAATGCACAACTGAAGAAAGACAGACCTCCTACAAAGAGAAGTTACGAGGTGAAACATCTGAAATGCATTTTCAATTATGTCAATATGAATCATTATGCTTCTGCTTGCTTATGTGGAGAACATGGTATGATATAAACATAAACAGGTATCACAAAAAAACATTCCTGAGGTCTTAGTTGCAAATGAAACATCTAAAATATCTAAAACTACAGGTTTTTCTTAAAAACAGAAAGAAAACAAAAATTGCAGATACTGACATTTCTTTTGGTTTGAGTATAGGTCAAAAGATAAGTTATAAATGTGGTTGACAGCCAGCTGAGCCAGCTGTGCCCAGGTGGCCGAGAAGGCCAGTGGCATCCTGGCCTGTAACAGTGCAGTCAGCAGGACCAGGGCAGGGATTGCCCCTCTGTGCTTGGCACTGGTGAGGCCACACCTCCTATCCTGTGTCCAGGTCTGGATGCCTCCCTGCAGAAGGACACTGAGTTGCTGGACTGTGTCCAGAGAAGGGCAACGGAGCAGGTGAAGGATCTGGAGTACAAGACCTGTGAGGTGTGGCTGAGGAAACTGGGGCTGGCTGCTTAGCCTGGAGAAAAAGAGGCTCAGGGGTGACCTTATCACTCTCTACAACTCTCTGAAAGGAGGCTGTAGCCAGGTGGGAGTTGTCCTCTTTTCCCAAGTAACAAGAGACAGGGCAAGAGGAAATGGCATCAAGCTGTGCCAGGGAAAGTTCAGGTTGGGTATTAAGAGTAATTTTTTCACTAAAGGTTTTTCAAGCATTTGAACAGGCTGCACAGGGAAGTCCTTGAGCCCCCATCCCTGGAGGTACCTAAAAGATGTGGAGACGTGGAGCTTAGGTAAATGGTTTAGTGGTGGACTTTATGATCTTAAGGGTGGTTTCCAGCTTTATGACTCTCTCGTTATGATTCTATGGTGATAATTAGGAGCTCTATAGGAAGAAGAAGGATATGTGTTATGTGGACAAGTGTATATAGATTCATGATTCACAGTGTTTGGGGCCAGCTTGGCCATTCTGCCAAGTGACCAGTGTGAACTACAGCCTAAGTATCTCATGCGAAGGCCCCCACATCTAAACAAGCCTAAGGGACAGGGCTGGTCTGTGGATGCTCATGCTCCCTTTGACTCCTAGCAGTTCAGGCATGCGAGAAAAAGGGCAGGATTTACTATGGGGAGGAAAGGAAACTCTTTGTACAAATGCACATCTGAAAACCTGCTTGGATCACAAACGTACACGAAACAAAATCAAATGCCAGACCCCAATGTGCATACAGGCCACAAGCCATTCAAGTAAGACCTGTAGGGTAACCCAATACACTCCTGCTGTAGAGCAAACTGGAAACATCTTGACAGATCCCTGTGGAAGTCAGCAGTATATTCCCTCCTGTCATGCTTGACATCTCAGGCTGCCACTACCATGTCTTGCCTGGGAACTGCTTTTGGACTACTCTGGATCTTTTCCCTTTAGATTCCTACCTCACAGCATACTTTTTTACTCACAGTCAAGCAGAAAAATATTTTCATGGAGCTTGTCAAACAAAGCGTATTAACTGTATTAACACTGACTTTAAAGAAACTACGAGTCCCACAGCTGAAATAACATCCATGAGATTATTTGTCCTTTTGTCCCAAATCATTAGAAACTCTAACTATTCCTGTAAATATTTATTTATTTATACAAACCTCCTGAGTTCTCTAATACTGTGTAGGAGAGCTTTAGAACTCAAATGTTTGCTTGAATTATGTCACTTTACACTTAAAACTGATTTCTTCACAAGAGTCCGTGTGCATTGCTGAATAGAAGTATACATTTTCTTGTGTGAGAGAGAAGAATGAACAGCATTGTCAAACATTCCACTCTGTATTAGTTACTCTGGTTTAGCAGAGACTAGCACAGCCAATCTTTTTGTTGCAGTTCAAGTTGCTAAGACTGGAAAAAGTTGAAGGAAACATTGCTGAGATAATTAGTTCACCAAAGACACTACGTCTATTCCTAAATTAGTATCACTCAAATGTTTCAAAACCAGTATGAGCAGGAAACAGAGAACAAACTAAAAGATCATTGATATAATACGCCCTTTGCTTCCTACAGCAATGTACTTATTTCTTCTGGAGAAACTGTCCTACAAGAATTGGATTTCAGATCCCAACATTTTGTAACTTTAAGAAAAATACTTCTAAACTATGCAGAGCATGAGTGTTTGGGCTATTGGTGAACACACAGTAGTGTGCCCAACCTGTGTGCACACTTTGGTCCCACAATTCTGTGGTGGTTTCACACGCAAAGTGGTATCATGGAGATATACAATCATTTCTGTTCCATGGTTTCTTTTCAATTATTAGAATTTCTCTAGCTACTAGAATATACTGGAGCCGTAACTGGAGCAAAGTACCTCAAAAGACAAACTTCCTACCTAGCTGTAGAAACTTCTTTTCTAAGACTCCTTTCTATTTTGCTGAGGCTTGGATTAGTAAAGCGTTAAACAGCCATTATCTCTGGCACTCATAGAAAACAGCTATATTTAGCCCAAGTTTATCAATAAAGATGCTATAGAAAGCCAGGACTTTTACTTCAAAGATTCTTTCTAAATGAGAAGGCAAATTATTGAAGGTTTTGTGCGCGCAGAAGACACAGTGCACAGAAGACAAAACACTCTGCTTTCCACAACAATACAGTAAACAGGAAGGTCCAAACTAAAGGTGGTTAGGTAAAAATACTTCTAGAAACCAGAGCTCCAGTACAGTTTTCCTTCCTGTTTTTGCTTTGCTGTAAACCAACAAACAAACCCCTACTACATCAGCATTACTATTCAAGAGTTTACAGCTCGAGAAATGTCAAGATTCCTAAGTCATCCAATAAAAGGAGCCATCCACAGAAGATACGAATGATATTTATATTCCCTGACCTATAGTTGTGGAAAGCATACCAGGTGTTTTGGATTCCATTCTGAGAGCTCAGCAGTGTCTACCCATCTATCAACACTTATTAACAGCAACTAAAACAAGGACTTCCACATCTAGAAATATGGACTCCTATTCAGTGTCAAGGACTTAAGCATAAAAATACAAAACTATGCAGAGACAACAGGGATAGCTTCAGTACCAGAAGCAGTACAGTCACCTTAGGAGTTTAGGAGTATGTTCTTTTAAGTTACAAAGAGCTCCAAGCAGCTCCACATACCCTTTCTCACATACATGTGGCAAAGCACAACCTGAGAGACTACAAACCACAGTTTTGATAAAGTAATCTATCTGAATTTTGATTCTGAGTCTGATATTGTGCATGTATTGTGCACTTAGGTGGCATGACACATGTGACATGTTTAATGATTTCTTTGGCTGTGTCTTTCACACTGATGATGAGCCTAGAAGGTCCCAGTGCCCAGAGCTGGAGGACCATGGCTGGGAGAATGATAAACTCCTAGTTGACTGCAAATTTGTGTGGGATCTGCTGCTCCAGCTGGATCCTCATGTATCTATGTGGCTTCATGATGGCATTCATCCAAGAATACTCAAAGAGCTGGTTGATGTCATTGCAAGGTCTCTCTCAATTAGTTTTGAACAGTCTGGGGAGTTCCCAGCTGATTGGAAGCTGGCTACGGTTGTCTCAATGTTCAAAAAAAGCAAGAAGGATGAAACTGGAAACT